TCGTCTGGATTTCTCTGAGGGGTTGCTGACATTTTCAATCATCGTGGTCTTGACCAGATGAAGGGGCTTGTCCTCTGCCAGCAACATATTACCTCAACTAGTCACGCTGTATGAGCTCCTCGATATGCCTCTTGAGCTCATAGCAGTCATTAGTGTCATGACCATGGTCGTGGTGAAAACGGTAGTACCTATTGGGATTTTTGCTATTTGGGGCGGACTTCATTTTTTTAGGCCAGTGAAGCGTGGGGTCATCTTGTATCTGGAATAGGATGTGCTCCACTGAGGCATTAAGTGGCGTGAAAGGCTGTCGTTCTCTTGGGGGGTACAAACTGAGACGGTCCTTGATAGAGACTCTTTCGATACTCTTTCTCTTATTCTCCACCTTCCAGTTGTTTTCACGGGTGTCCTTCCTTTTCTCCCCTTCTCAAGAGGACTTACCTTGATTGACCTTGGTGATGTCCTCGACATTCATGTACTTCTGGGCCCTTGACAACAACTCTAGCATGCTGGAGGGTGACTTTTTTAGGATGGAGAACATAAAGCTATTGTTTGGCTCTTAAATCTGGAGAGTTTTCTCATTGAAATGAGTGAGGTAGCTCCTAAGGCTTTCATCTCGGTCCTTCTAGATGGTGAACAGGTGAGTAACAGGCTTCTGGTGCCGGCGTCCCCCAATGAAGTGGGTGACAAAAGATTTGCTTAACTCCGCAAAAAAATGGATGGAATAAGGCTTGAGCTTGGCGAACCACTGACGTGCGGGTCCCTTGAGGGTGGTAGAGAAGGCTTTACACTTAATCTCATCAGGCACGTTGTGGAGTTTCATGAGAGATTTGTATGTGTTAAGGTGGTCAATGGGGTCTTTGGTACCATTGAAGATCTTGATGACAAACATCTTGAACTTTGAGGGTAAGGGGTAATTGGCTACATTTGCAACGAATGGCGTGTCAGTGCACCTTACCAAGTAATCCATCATCTCGGGCACCTGTGCGTTGATGGTGTTGAAGGTATTACCAAGTTGGTTTTGCATCTTTCTGATCCTCTTGTCCTATTGGTTAGGGACATCCTCTGTTGGGTGGTTGTATTGGCTTTCATGATCGTCATGCTGATTTGTGAGGGGTGCCCTGGCGTGGCCCTAGGGCATTCTAACAAGGGGCCCTATGGTGGGGGGCTGATGGGCGCCTAGAGGGGATATGTTGCTGCTCCTTTCTCTTTGGAGGGAGTGGGGCTCCTCCCTCAGTGAGCATCAATTGTATGATTTGCTGATTTTGGTTTATCAACAACTGCATAGTTTGTAGAAGTTATTGCTGGACGATAAGAGTTGTCGTAGCAGATGGTTCCGAGGGTGCGAAGGGAGGTGGAGCCTCCTCCCGGTAGGCCGAGTTGTTGTTTCTCAGTTATTGACTCATTGATCTGGTCGTAATTGCCATAGATTAAAAAAGAGTAGAAAATCTAGTCGTTTTCCACAGACGACGCCAAATTAATGATGCACAAATTAGTCTCATGTAAGATCAACAATTGAGTGTATGAAGAAATGTAATTAATGGACAATAAATAAGATAATCAATGGCGAAGCAGTAAATATAGAGTCAACACACAGATATATAGTGGTTCGGTCAAGGTGACTTTATTCCACTCTCGAAAAACGACATCGGTGGCCAGATGTCTTTATTAATGAATTAAGTTACAGAAATAGAGCTCTAGGAGAGTATGCTTAGTGAGAGTTACAATAGTTAAGAGAGAATCTATATGTGTAGAGGTGTGTAGAGAGGTGTGGTGAGATGTAGATGTCTCTCCATATGGAGAAAGCTTATAATATATTGGTTTGGTAAGACAGTGACACGAGTGAGAGGACACTACTTCTTTGGTAAGTACAATTAAGGTAGAATTGATCTTTATGAGTGCATATCTCAATACATTCTCTCCCACGTTCTCTTATCTTCCCGGACTCCTTGGATCTTGGATTGGGTTGAATTGATAAAGTGAGCTTGGGTTGCCTTTTATCTGGCTTGGGCTTGCTTGATTCATTGGGCTTGGCCTAGCTAAATTTGGGCTCATCAATAGAAACAATTGGATGATTGTTCATTGTATTCAATTTGTTGTAAATGAAGTGGCATAATTGTTACACAAAAGTGGTATAAATTGTTAGACAAAAATGATATGCAATTAATCGTGTTTTTCAATATTTAGTATTTTAGTGATATTTGGGACCATCTGAATTAAATAGGTAAGGTGACCCAAGAAAAAATAAATAAATTAAACAGATAAGCCAATGATCGATCCTCGACATGATGGATCAATTGGATTGAACTGTTGTGGTTTTTGATTGATCCTAAAAATCACTGATTAATCATAGAAGTACTAGACAATTTGAATTAAACAAATTTAAGTTTGTGATCGATTTGAAATATGAAGGGTCGATAACAGAGCCACTAGAACAATTGGAGGTTCATGATCGATTGATCCCAGAGCCACTGGACTAGTTGGATTAGATGGTTCATGATCGACCCTAAACATTAAAGATCTATCATAGAGGTCTTGGACTTTAATCTGAAAGTGATTTTACGATCGATCTATAATCGGCCATAAACTAACTTGAGTTATGATTTTTGTTATTTAATGTGTGTTACTGGTATCTTAGCACAATTAAGAAACTATCCATAAAACTCAGAGGGTTTGGGATGAAAATGCACTGTATAAAAGATTAACCATAACTTTAGCACTAACTTTGGGAAAGATTGTACAATTCCCCAATTTACCAACAATGTTCCACTAACTTCCAACCCAATGGCAAGGTCGGATTTACACCAATCCTCAAACTTTTGGGTTCATTTGAAAATTTTTAATATTTTTTAAAATATGCCCCCACTAAAAAAGTTATAAAATTTTATGTGTACTTTTATATTTGAATAATATTTTTGAGACCTATAAATTTGATTTTATTTATTTAACTAATTATGTTTCAAAGTGACATGGTCTCAAAAAAAAGTTCAAGGGTTTTAATTAGATTAATATTATTGAACCATACTAACTACTATACCGTTAAGTCATCAAATTATTTAAATTTTTTAGGTCTAAATAACATTATTTTTTATGTTTTAGTGAATAAGTGAGATTCTTTTGACTTAAAAAATTATATATAAGTTTCTTTCATACAATTTACTGTCATCACTTTCTTTTTAATCCCTATAGTTTCGCACATGTCTCATATATGAATTAAAATTGAAATCGAAATTTGAAATTCTATTTTTAAAGTTCTAGTTTAAACTTGTAAACTCTAAAATCAAACCTAAATATTGACAAATTAATATATTTGCAATGTAATTGTATAGTCTTGATTTTAATTTAACAATGAGTCAGAGATTGTCTCCACTAAATAAAAATCCTTGCTCCACTTCTGCCCAAGGGTGTTACATTCAAGAAATAGGTTTACAATTGTGTCCAACAATAAATATCCCGACCCACCATACAAAAGATCATTTACACGTGAAATTCGCATTCACTTTTACATTTGCCACATTCACCTTTACATTTGTCATATTCACCTTTAGCATGTCTCGAGTTAATGACTAAACCTGTCAATGTGTTTACAACTGAAAACTATGTGACTCAAACTATGCTCAAACAACACAAATGGAAGCAGTTGACAGTTCAATTTGGCCTGTTGAGTCCATGCAATTAGATCACCTGAAATGCCTTGAAGTTGGCCTTCCATATTGGGTTGACCTTTGAAGTATTAGGCATGAGGTGTTTGTACTAAATCCATTGGCAGTATGGAGAACATATATGCTAATGAGAGGTGGCAAATGGATGGATTTGGTTGGGTTAAATTAGATTGGACTAAAATAAATTCAATTTATTTTTCATTTACGGGTTATAATAAATTGGGTTATAACGGATTGAGTTAAATCAATTAACCCATATAATGATTAAAATTCTTAATAGATACATTAATACACACACATTACTAATACACCAAAATACAAACATATACAGACATTAATATACCAAAACACACAGAAACTAATATATTAAAAATATACACACATTTACTAACACAAAAATTAAAACACATTTAATAAAAAAAATATACACATAATGAGTCGGAGTTGATTATGGGCTATGAGTTGGTCTGTGGGTTGATCCATGGGTTGTGGTTCACGAATCAACCCGTGGGGTCATAGGTGGTGTATTAGTGTGTGTGTTTTTGATGTACTAGTGTGTTTATGTTTTGGTGTATTAGTGTATATGTGAATATTTTTAGTGTAATAGTGTGTATTTTTAGTGTAATAGTGTGTATTTTTTGGTATATTAGTATATTTATTTAATTTTATTATTATTTTTTTTAATAAAAAGATAAATACTCAGCCCAATAGGTACTTATTTGTAATTCATATTAACCCAATTAATTAAAATGAATCATATTATCTAACCCGTTTAAAACTCATATTAATTAATATAGATACCCAACTCATTTATTTATGGGCGAGTTAAGTGAATTAATGGATAATGGATTAAAATTGTCACCTATATTAATTTGGTTGGTTTTAGCATCTGCATTGAAACAGAGGCTCAATGCTCCATTTAATAAAATAGATGAAAAATAAGAGAGATTCACTTTTTAAAAGAAAATAAAAATGTACACGTTTCTTCTTTTGTATTTGGTAGGATGAATAAAAAATAAAAATAATTAAATTTTTTTGTGTTTGGTAAGATGGAAAAAATATATTTTTTAATTTTTAATTTTATTTTATTTAAAAAAATATAAAAATATATTTTATCATTATATTTACACATGAAATTAATGCATACATAATATATGTATATATCAAAGAATATACAGACAAATAAAATATATTTCAATACAAATGATTAATTTTTTATCCTATTTTAGAGGGATTATTTTAGTGAGTTAAAAAGAAAATTTATCCATCCTTCTTGGTGTCAATTATAATTACCTTACTTTTAACAACAAAAGTACCATTATCATAGTTACAAAGATGAAACGACCATATGAAATTTTGGGTGACAGCTCACTCTATAAAAATTGGATTAGGTTGGTAAAAGCCTCTTGTACAGAGCTGCGTATTGAATATATAGAGGCAACATGAGGAAAATAGAAGGTAGATGACAGTTTTGAAGCAGAAAATTTCAGATCTTGTCTTGCCTTCTCTTTTCTCAATTTACTGGTACAATAACAATAAATTAAAGCAGTACATTTCTATTTGGATGTTAGATACATGGGCACTCGTCTATTTCCTTGGATCTGACGGAGCCATAGGTCAGTGATTCCGAGATAATGTAAGGAGAACATCCCATTTGAGTATTTCCCCCCAAGCTTTCTCAACCTCTATTGCAAGTAAGTGCTGCAAGCTTCACAAGAGTGATATTTCAAATCAAATGAACACGATATAGACCTCAACGAACTAGAAGAAAAAAGAGACAAAGTTGCATGAGCTACCGACTAGATGTCTTCTCAAACTACAAATGCTAATGGTATCGTAACTTATAACAATCCAGAAGCAGATATAAAGCTTACCCAAGATACAACAAGAATTAATGAGATTATGGGACCACAGTTCTGGATGTAAGTTTATCTCCATGGAATGTAATCTTCCAGCAATCTACTTGGAGTATAAACACAGAATCCTTTTTTGGCACAACTGTAATAGCTTAAATAACAAACATGATTAGATGTACAATCCTTAGGACTTGCCAACAAGAGAAAGGGAGATCCAACAAAAAGTTGAACAATCATCCATGCATACAATCCAAGTTGCACTAATACTGCTAGAAGGCCTCAAGGTCATGTGTATTAAAGTGAGATCATTTAGAATAGAGAGCAGAACCCGAGCCAAATAAAAAAATATTAAAAAAAATATCCACAATAAAGTAGCAAATATTATTGACAAGTTAGATATAAACAACAGTACTAGGGCAAATTTAGCATTATATGCCTTGCAAAACATTTGGAAGAATTAGACAGCAAAAACTGAACAATCAATGTAATATGATTTTGAACTGGTAATTGTATTACCTCGAAATTTGTTATCTTGTGTAATTATTCCAAATGTCTTGGCAGTTTCACGAATCATGATACCACTCACTCCGATGAAGGCAGCTATTTTTGACTGAACAACTGCCAGCAATTAGACAATAACTAAATCAACATATGTTAAAGTACAAGAGTTTTGTGTGTATGCCTGAAAAGGAAGTTGATTCATATTCTTCTTAACACCCATAAAGAACATCCTATTAGACATCAATACAAACTTACACAAATATGCAATATCTAATAAAAATTTAAAGGGGCCATGCAGTAAAGATCATACTGGTCTATGCCATCTACTCAATATTTTTCATTTGTGCAGGCTTTTTGACTTGTGGCCACTGGAAAATTCCTTATTCATCAATTGTGGGTACATTCATAGTTCACCAGGAGGCCTTTTCTAATAGAACTTGCTTTCATTACACCACTGGCGCACTCATTTCTTCTTCAGCAAGATCTTAGTCACAAATCACAATGCATTTTATGATGCTATCCTCAATACAAATTAAGGAGTCTGGCCAAAGCTCGTGGGTCCCCCAATGAGGGAGAACGTATTCAATGCAACGGTGATACCACGTCAGAATTGCCACGTGGTATCACCATCCAATACTAAAAAACCAAATAGTCAAGGTAAACCACATGTGGGTAGTTATTGTCTTACATGGAGAGAGGGTCGATAGTTATTGTATTACATGAATGGGTAGTTATTGTCTTATATGGAGAGAGGGTTGATAGTTATTGTATTACATGGATGGGTAGTTATTGATTTGTGTAGAGTCCACTTATTTATATGTTAACATATTATTGGATGGTGATATCACGTGACAATGCTAACGTGGTATCACTGTTACACTGAATATTTACTCCCAATGAGGGATCTGACCAATAGTAGTCTAATTTAGAAAGGGATCGGAAGTTGGGGCAAAGAAACTCAAGCACTAACAGCCCTGTTACATTTCAAATACAACCAATCTCGGAAGTTTCTAAAGATTAAAAACAAAACTGAAAGCAATCTAATGCTATGGGGAAAAAGTTATTGAATTGTCTACCTAAAATAAGTGCACCATGCAGGTCTGCACTAAGAAGACATTGTGCCAGCTGATTTTTCCTGCAAGATAAAGTGCAAGCATGTTAAGAACATCTGCATAACTGCAAGATAATCAGTAATGTCAAGAAGAAATATATCTCACCCAACATTTTTCAGAAGTTTGGCAATATAGTCTGTCCACATTTCATGCATTGGCTTGAAAATTTCAAATCTGTAACCAAAACCAAAGCAAGAATTTGAAGAACAAACAGGTTAAAAAGAAAGCCGGAAACAAAGATAAAATAAATTGTGCAAGGAAGTGATTCTTCAATGTACATCACCAGATCTGCATCCACCAACTAAATGCATTTTGAAAAGTTTAATTTATACTTATTTACTAGGACCACACCACAGCTATTAACATGACATGCAAAGACATTATGTAGAGTATTGGCTAGCACTGTGCTGATCAACAATACATCAAAACATGAATAAATAATATAAGATGGATGGGTGCAGAAAATGAGTAAACGGTCCATGGACTAAGATTCTTGCAACAAAGAGCTATCAGCTATGTGATACCAGCATAAGAATGAAATTACCAGACAAATAAAATAATTGGAAATCAGCAAGTATAATTGGAGGAAGAAGACTACAAGTGCAATAATATGTCAGTAGAGAAGCATAAGACTCACTTATGGAGCTCCTGAGACAAATTAAATGATCCACACTTTTTATGTTGCTTCATGGACATGTGCTTTTTAGATCGTCTTGATAGGTTCCGTAAAGCCCTGCTATGGGAACCAGCAGATGCATTACTTTTTTGTACAAAATTATCAAGAAGGATATAATTGTCGATTTTCATGCTTCTCGATCCCTGCATGTATTTCTTGGCTGAGTCACCCTTTTGGAGAAGGTCATGCAAAACCTGATCAACTACAGTTCCTTGTCTATTAGAAATCTGCAAGATGCAAGGAGAGATGGTACACATTAAACTTTTTGTAAAATCATGTATCTCACTGATTGAAGCAACTTCGAGTCAAATATAGTTTAAGACAGAGTANGTTTTATGCTCCGGGTTGTGTGAATAATTTTTCGTGTTTATGATATTGGGTTTAAGGGTAGCAAAATATTATACAATTTGTTAATACGACTTGAAATTAGAGGTTTTAATCTTTTTTAAGTTGTAAATTAGTGGATATGAAATGACATGATAAATAAACGAATCGGGTATAGGTGAAACTAACTAAAAAAAATAGACAACACTGACTTATTTATATACCGATTATACACGACAAAANTAAGATTACCTTGGCATTGGTAGTCAACAGATTCTCATGCACAGGATGAGAGAGTTGAGAATATGTCGGATCATTTACTTGCACATCTGTGTGTTACGATAGACCATTGCCTTCTTGTTAAGAANAAAGATTACCTTGGCATTGGTAGTCAACAGATTCTCATGCACAGGATGAGAGAGTTGAGAATATGTTGGATCATTTACTTGCACATCTGTGTGTTACGATAGACCATTGCCTTCTTGTTAAGAANGTTTATATACCGATTATACACGACAAAAAACTAAGGGCCAATTCAAACCCGCCTCTCAACTTGATTGCCAAGACTAAGTGGGTTGAATTTAGGTTGAATTTTTAGTGTTTTTGTGTTATTGGCCCCATGAATAATAAAACGAATCAATTGTATCAAATTCAAATATCACGGGCTTAATGTGATCACAGTACGTCAATTTTCTATGCTAATGAATTATGTCAATTTTAAGTAAATATTAAAAATGTATCAATTCTCGTCTCCATTTTCAAGTCCGGCAATTCCGGTCTATCAACATTAGATGTGCGGATTTTTTGCCCCTGNAAAAGATTTGCAAATACACATGATCACACATATCTATGTCCACATTTACGAGAAAACCAGACACATGACACAGAAAAAATTAAACCAGATCTTGTGTAGTAGTATGACCCCAAAAAGAAATATTTCCTACAATTAGACATACCAATGAGGAGAATGCAGAAAATCAATAACTGATGCAAAACATAAAAATCCTAACTCAACATTGAATTACAACAAATAACAGGTAAATATAGAGACCAAAAATTTACAACTAGTGGGCAGAGGAAAGAACTGGCTAATATTCCGGTAGTTCCCCACTCAATACCCCCCACAAACACCCTCTGTACAAAGAGCCTCCTTGATCACGAGAATCAAACTCCTTGTTTACCCCTCTCATTTAGAATTCATGCCAAACCTTTACAATGTACAAGAAGTCTACAATGGTTTTGGAAACTACCAATAAAGGGCGCCTTAGACACTATTATACCGTACGAAATACCTTAGATAAATTGCACCCAAATTCAATCCAACAAGTGACTCAGCACCAAAAATAAAAAACAAAATTAATGACCTTTCATCAGCAGTTTTCCCCCATCCTGCAGGTCAAGATTACATTTTTTCAACGGTATCAAAAGTGAAATCACTTATTTTAGATAAGCAAAACAACGCAAATAGAGCAATGTCCCCAATCAATGGCCGCCTATTAAAAAAGTCCCCATTAAATAAACATATCATCTCCTAGATTTCCACTAACCAACAGTTAAAAAGCAAAAATTATCCTTTCACACATTCGATAACAAAAAATTCAAAATCAGAATCTCAGATTACAAGTTGTTCACCCACATATACAGCTAGATAGATTGCAAAACCCAAAAGCAGAGGCAGAGTTCATACAAGCGTGAAAATCGAACCTTTTTTCGACAAGGGATTCGACGAGTGTTGGGTGACAGATGCATCAATTGACGAAGAATTGGTATTAAGAGCAACTTTGTTTATTTCTTCACCAGGTCTCTTCTTGCTCTTCTTTTGTTGTAGACGAAGCTCGGCTTCAGCTAGGGCAAACCTTCGCTCTAATGCCTCCATTGTTCGTTTCTTCTGGTCTTGATGAGCTGTGTCGGTCGCCATAGGACAGAGAATAAAACTATTTCTGGCTTTGATTCAGAGAGGAGGTTTGAGTTTTTCTACCCTCTTCGCTCACCCCCGAGAAACAACTAGGAGAGAACAGTGTCAAGGTCATTAGAATAATATGACACCGTTTCGTATCACCGCTTGAAGACATGAATCCATGGTTTTAAAATCCGGCCCAAACATGAACGGAACCGGGTCAACGGATCATTGATCGAATCGATAATATAATTAAAAAATAAAAAATAATTATAAATTCCCTGAAGCAGAGAGAGAGAATGTACCTGAAGCAGCCTCGATGGAGCTCTGAAGTAGCTCTGAACCGGCCTTCTTCGATTGAGCTTGAGTCCCTGTTTTCTTGCAGCGTGGAGAGAGACCGAGACTGAGAGACAGAGAGATAGAGAGAGACAGAGAGAGAGAAAGAGAGACTCGGGCTGAGAGGGTCGTCGACCGTTTGCAGCAACGCAGAAGCGCAGGGCCGTGGGTGCCTTGCCTGGGGTGGGAAAGAAAACGATTTAGGAGCAAAATGCGCAAAAGGGCCAAAGCAGCGTTTTTGTAGTAATTCAATAAATCCGGCCGGTTTGTTTAAATCGTCCGGGACGAACTTTTGACAGGGTTTCCTCTAGTTTTGGTGAACAAATGATCCGATAAACGGACCGGCCCGGTTTAAGCTCCGGTTCACTGGATAACTCCACCGGGCCGGGTCAAAATTTAAAACTCGTTTTTGAAATATGACATTAGAGGATTTGAGTTTTTTTTAAATTAATCTAGTTTGTGAATAAATGAACTCAACACAAGACGATTAATAAATAAAATGAAATATGTGTGAAGTCAATAAAAAAAATACATGTGATACAACTTATTTATATATCGATTATAAGTGATTTATAAAAGAGACGATTTAATAAACGAATTGTATATGAAAGAAGTGTTTTTTAACAAGAATCCATTGAAATCCGACATTAATCTGTCTCACCACATACACAAAAAAATCACTAATCAATCCCGACCCCTTATGACCAGTGTAATTGTGTCGATGAGGACCCGCTTTTGAACCCGTTTATTACAAGTGTAATCCGAACATCACATTGTCACTTGTCGACTAGAAAGCTTAATCCAAGAACTCGCGAAACCGTTATTCCACCACTGTAAAATTGTTTTTTTTTTTTTTTAATTGAGCAGTTAAGAATATTCGAATTAATTTATGCATACTTCAACTAATCTCTTTCTTGTTCAATCAAAGGTAGATCATCATGATTTAATCTCAAATGATTGTTAAGATTCGAACTTAATACGTTTAGACTTACGGTTCATCTTTGATACCACTTAAGTTACCATTAAGATTAGAATTTGCGTATTTTACTGTTTGTATAAAGCAACTCAATAATCCTGACGAATCGAATAGAGGGGCCTGTGAGCGTGTATATGTGTGCGTGTGTGTGTGTGAGAGAGAGAGAGAACTAAAAATGGGTAGCAGAGCTTCATGTTCAAATGAATCTAGTGTTAGCTTAGAATTTTCCTATGGATAACTATTTGCATAGATTCCGACAAGAGGTGAGAGACATCAGAATCAGAATGGATAGGGGCTTTAAATGATTCGTTTTATGCTCCGGGTTGTGTGAATAATTTTTCGTGTTTATGATATTGGGTTTAAGGGTAGCAAAATATTATACAATTTGTTAATACGACTTGAAATTAGAGGTTTTAATCTTTTTTAAGTTGTAAATTAGTGGATATGAAATGACATGATAAATAAACGAATCGGGTATAGGTGAAACTAACTAAAAAAAATAGACAACACTGACTTGTTTATATACCGATTATACACGACAAAAAACTAAGGGCCAATTCAAACCTGCCTCTCAACTTGATTGCCAAGACTAAGTGGGTTGAATTTAGGTTGAATTTTTAGTGTTTTTGTGTTATTGGCCCCATGAATAATAAAACGAATCAATTGTATCAAATTCAAATATCACGGGCTTAATGTGATCACAGTACGTCAATTTTCTATGCTAATGAATTATGTCAATTTTAAGTAAATATTAAAAATGTATCAATTCTCGTCTCCAATTTCAAGTCCGGCAATTCCGGTCTATCAACATTAGATGTGCGGATTTTTTGCCCCTGTTCTCCAAAATCCTGTGTGAAGAACTTGATTTTCACGGGTTGGTTTGTGGTTACCAATCAATTTTTAAAAAGTTCTAACTTAATACGTGTGCACATGCTTTCATACTACCGAAACTGCTATGTAAAGCACACACACACACACAAGGTGCCATTGAAATGTTCTTTTCTATGTTTTTTGTTAAGAAGTTGATCATGGAATTCATCAAAAAAAGGATTATGCTCTAGTACACTCACCATACTTTTCGGTACCTTATTGAAAAAATAAGTCTCACTTAATAGACATGTGTTCACTAAAAAATATATGACCGGTGAAACCGGTATATTCAAATTATTTATCTATTTTTAGCCCCAAAAAAATTATTACTTTACCAAAAAATTGTAACACAACCCCAAAAGTCATAACACAATCCTAAAAGTTGTAACACCTTCTAGAAAGTTGTAATGCCACCCAAATAAATCAGGGTCTCAGGCAAAAACTTTATATGAGATTCTATTAATATTTTGTCTATTAATATATATGATTTTTAATTATTATAATTTATTTTTTATTTAAAAAAATTATATTTTTTATTTTTTTGGATACAAAATATTGATCAAGTTCTTATATTTAAGNCCGCCTATTAAAAAAGTCCCCATTAAATAAACATATCATCTCCTAGATTTCCACTAACCAACAGTTAAAAAGCAAAAATTATCCTTTCACACATTCGAAAACAAAAAATTCAAAATCAGAATCTCAGATTACAAGTTGTTCACCCACATATACAGCTAGATAGATTGCAAAACCCAAAAGCAGAGGCAGCGTTCATACAAGCGTGAAAATCGAACCTTTTTTCGACAAGGGATTCGACGAGTGTTGGGTGACAGATGCATCAATTGACGAAGAATTGGTATTAAGAGCAACTTTGTTTATTTCTTCACCAGGTCTCTTCTTGCTCTTCTTTTGTTGTAGACGAAGCTCGGCTTCAGCTAGGGCAAACCTTCGCTCTAATGCCTCCATTGTTCGTTTCTTCTGGTCTTGATGAGCTGTGTCGGTCGCCATAGGACAGAGAATAAAACTATTTCTGGCTTTGATTCAGAGAGGAGGTTTGAGTTTTTCTACCCTCTTCGCTCACCCCCGAGAAACAACTAGGAGAGAACAGTGTCAAGGTCATTAGAATAATATGACACCGTTTCGTATCACCGCTTGAAGACATGAATCCATGGTTTTAAAATCCGGCCCAAACATCAACGGAACCGGGTCAACGGATCATTGATCGAATCGATAATATAATTAAAAAATAAAAAATAATTATAAATTCCCTGAAGCAGAGAGAGAGAATGTACCTGAAGCAGCCTCGATGGAGCTCTGAAGTAGCTCTGAACCGGCCTTCTTCGATTGAGCTTGAGTCCCTGTTTTCTTGCAGCGTGGAGAGAGACCGAGACTGAGAGACAGAGAGATAGAGAGAGACAGAGAGAGAGAAAGAGAGACTCGGGCTGAGAGGATCGTCGACCGTTTGCAGCAACGCAGAAGCGCAGGGCAGTGGGTGCCTTGCCTGGGGTGGGAAAGAAAACGATTTAGAGCAAAATGCGCAAAAGGGCCAAAGCAGCGTTTTTGTAGTAATTCAATAAATCCGGCCGGTTTGTTTAAATCGTCCGGGACGAACTTTTGACAGGGTTTCCTCTAGTTTTGGTGAACAAATGATCCAATAAACGGACCGGCCCGGTTTAAGCTCCGGTTCACTGGATAACTCCACCGGGCCGGGTCAAAATTTAAAACTCGTTTATGAAATATGACATTAGAGGATTTGAGTTTTTTTTAAATTAATCTAGTTTGTGAATAAATGAACTCAACACAAGACGATTAATAAATAAAATGAAATATGTGTGAAGTCAATAAAAAAAATACATGTGATACAACTTATTTATATATCGATTATAAGTGATTTATAAAAGAGACGATTTAATAAACGAATTGTATATGAAAGAAGTGTTTTTTAACAAGAATCCATTGAAATCCGACATTAATCTGTCTCACCACATACACAAAAAAATCACTAATCAATCCCGACCCCTTATGACCAGTGTAATTGTGTCGATGAGGACCCGCTTTTGAACCCGTTTATTACAAGTGTAATCCGAACATCACATTGTCACTTGTCGACTAGAAAGCTTAATCCAAGAACTCGCAAAACCGTTATTCCACCACTGTAAAATTGTTTTTTTTTTTTTTTGATCGAGCAGTTAAGAATATTCGAATTAATTTATGCATACTTCAACTAATCTCTTTCTTGTTCAATCAAAGGTAGATCATCATGATTTAATCTCAAATGATTGTTAAGATTCGAACTTAATACGTTTAGACTTACGGTTCATCTTTGATACCACTTAAGTTACCATTAAGATTAGAATTTGCGTATTTTACTGTTTGTATAAAGCAACTCAATAATCCTGACGAATCGAATAGAGGGGCCTGTGAGCGTGTATATGTGTGCGTGTGTGTGTGTGTGAGAGAGAGAGAACTAAAAATGGGTAGCAGAGCTTCATGTTCAAATGAATCTAGTGTTAGCTTAGAATTTTCCTATGGATAACTATTTGCATAGATTCCGACAAGAGGTGAGAGACATCAGAATCAGAATGGATAGGGGCTTTAAATGATTCATTTTATGCTCCGGGTTGTGTGAATAATTTTTCGTGTTTATGATACTGGGTTTAAGGGTAGCAAAATATTATACAATTTGTTAATACGACTTGAAATTAGAGGGTTTCAATCTTTTTTAAGTTGTAAATTAGTGGATATGAAATGACATGATAAATAAACGAATCGGGTATAGGTGAAACTAACTAAAAAAAATAGACAACACTGACTTATTTATATACCGATTATACACGACAAAAAACTAAGGCCAATTCAAACCTGCCTCTCAACTTGATTGCCAAGACTAAGTGGGTTGAATTTAGGTTGAATTTTTAGTGTTTTCGTGTTATTGGCCCCATGAATAATAAAACGAATCAATTGTATCAAATTCAAATAACACGGGCTTAATGTGATCACAGTACATCAATTTTCTATGCTAATGAATTATGTCAATTTTAAGTAAATATTAAAAATGTATCAATTCTCGTCTCCAATTTCAAGTCCGGCAATTCCGGTCTATCAACATTAGATGTGCGGATTTTTTGCCCCTGTTCTCCAAAATCCTGTGTGAAGAACTTGATTTTCACGGGTTGGTTTGTGGTTACCAATCAATTTTTAAAAAGTTCTAACTTAATACGTGTGCACATGCTTTCATACTACCGAAACTGCTATGTAAAGCGCACACACACACACACAAGGTGCCATCGAAATGTTCTTTTCTATGTTTTTTGTTAAGAAGTTGATCATGGAATTCATCAAAAAAAGGATTATGCTCTAGTACCCTCACCATACTTTTCGGTACCTTATTGAAAAAATAAGTCTCACTTAATAGACATGTGTTCACTAAAAAATATATGACCGGTGAAACCGGTATATTCAAATTATTTATCTATTTTTACCCCCAAAAATATTATTACTTTACCAAAAAATTGTAACACAACCCCAAAAGTCATAACACAATCCTAAAAGTTGTAACACCTTCTAGAAAGTTGTAATGCCACCCAAATAAATCAGGGTCTCAGGCAAAAACTTTATATGAGATTCTATTAATATTTTGTCTATTAATATATAGGATTTTTAATTATTATAATTTATTTTTTATTTAAAAAAATTATATTTTTTATTTTTTTGGATACAAAATATTGATCAAGTTCTTATATTTAAGTTTTGATAATAAATCTTTCTTAATAGATAATATGATTATTCATTCAATCTTAATTGATCATTAATAAGATATTATCACTTAAGTTTTGAACCAGCAATTTAATGGGCCTATAAAATTTGGATAATATCTAAAAAGGNGCTAGATAGATTGCAAAACCCAAAAGCAGAGGCAGAGTTCATACAAGCGTGAAAATCGAACCTTTTTTCGACAAGGGATTCGACGAGTGTTGGGTGACAGATGCATCAATTGACGAAGAATTGGTATTAAGAGCAACTTTGTTTATTTCTTCACCAGGTCTCTTCTTGCTCTTCTTTTGTTGTAGACGAAGCTCGGCTTCAGCTAGGGCAAACCTTCGCTCTAATGCCTCCATTGTTCGTTTCTTCTGGTCTTGATGAGTTGTGTCGGTCGCCATAGGACAGAGAATAAAACTATTTCTGGCTTTGATTCAGAGAGGAGGTTTGAGTTTTTCTACCCTCTTCGCTCACCCCCGAGAAACAACTAGGAGAGAACAGTGTCAAGGTCATTAGAATAATATGACACCGTTTCGTATCACCGCTTGAAGACATGAATCCATGGTTTTAAAATCCGGCCCAAACATCAACGGAACCGGGTCAACGGATCATTGATCGAATCGATAATATAATTAAAAAATAAAAAATAATTATAAATTCCCTGAAGCAGAGAGAGAGAATGTACCTGAAGCAGCCTCGATGGAGCTCTGAAGTAGCTCTGAACCGGCCTTCTTCGATTGAGCTTGAGTCCCTGTTTTCTTGCAGCGTGGAGAGAGACCGAGACTGAGAGACAGAGAGATAGAGAGAGACAGAGAGAGAGAAAGAGAGACTCGGGCTGAGAGGGTCGTCGACCGTTTGCAGCAACGCAGAAGCGCAGGGCCGTGGGTGCCTTGCCTGGGGTGGGAAAGAAAACGATTTAGGAGCAAAATGCGCAAAAGGGCCAAAGCAGCGTTTTTGTAGTAATTCAATAAATCCGGCCGGTTTGTTTAAATCGTCCGGGACGAACTTTTGACAGGGTTTCCTCTAGTTTTGGTGAACAAATGATCCGATAAACGGACCGGCCCGGTTTAAGCTCCGGTTCACTGGATAACTCCACCGGGCCGGGTCAAAATTTAAAACTCGTTTTTGAAATATGACATTAGAGGATTTGAGTTTTTTTTAAATTAATCTAGTTTGTGAATAAATGAACTCAACACAAGACGATTAATAAATAAAATGAAATATGTGTGAAGTCAATAAAAAAAATACATGTGATACAACTTATTTATATATCGATTATAAGTGATTTATAAAAGAGACGATTTAATAAACGAATTGTATATGAATGAAGTGTTTTTTAACAAGAATACATTAAAATCCGACATTAACCTGTCTCACCACATACACAAAAAAATCACTTATCATGTACCAAAAAAAAAAATCACTTATCAACTTTGCCCAAAAAAAAAAAATCACTAATCAATCCCGACCCCTTATGACCAGTGTAATTGTGTCGATGAGGACCCGCTTTTGAACCCGTTTATTACAAGTGTAATCCGAACATCACATTGTCACTTGTCGACTAGAAAGCTTAATCCAAGAACTCGCAAAACCGTTATTCCACCACTGTAAAATTGTTTTTTTTTTTAATTGAGCAGTTAAGAATATTCGAATTAATTTATGCATACTTCAACTAATCTCTTTCTTGTTCAATCAAAGGTAGATCATCATGATTTAATCTCAAATGATTGTTAAGATTCGAACTTAATACGTTTAGACTTACGGTTCATCTTTGATACCACTTAAGTTACCATTAAGATTAGAATTTGCGTATTTTACTGTTTGTATAAAGCAACTCAATAATCCTGACGAATCGAATAGAGGGGCCTGTGAGCGTGTATATGTGTGCGTGTGTGTGTGTGTGAGAGAGAGAGAACTAAAAATGGGTAGCAGAGCTTCATGTTCAAATGAATCTAGTGTTAGCTTAGAATTTTCCTATGGATAACTATTTGCATAGATTCCGACAAGAGGTGAGAGACATCAGAATCAGAATGGATAGGGGCTTTAAATGATTCATTTTATGCTCCGGGTTGTGTGAATAATTTTTCGTGTTTATGATACTGGGTTTAAGGGTAGCAAAATATTATACAATTTGTTAATACGACTTGAAATTAGAGGGTTTCAATCTTTTTTAAGTTGTAAATTAGTGGATATGAAATGACATGATAAATAAACGAATCGGGTATAGGTGAAACTAACTAAAAAAAATAGACAACACTGACTTGTTTATATACCGATTATACACGACAAAAAACTAAGGCCAATTCAAACCTGCCTCTCAACTTGATTGCCAAGACTAAGTGGGTTGAATTTAGGTTGAATTTTTAGTGTTTTCGTGTTATTGGCCCCATGAATAATAAAACGAATCAATTGTATCAAATTCAAATAACACGGGCTTAATGTGATCACAGTACATCAATTTTCTATGCTAATGAATTATGTCAATTTTAAGTAAATATTAAAAATGTATCAATTCTCGTCTCCAATTTCAAGTCCGGCAATTCCGGTCTATCAACATTAGATGTGCGGATTTTTTGCCCCTGTTCTCCAAAATCCTGTGTGAAGAACTTGATTTTCACGGGTTGGTTTGTGGTTACCAATCAATTTTTAAAAAGTTCTAACTTAATACGTGTGCACATGCTTTCATACTACCGAAACTGCTATGTAAAGCGCACACACACACACACAAGGTGCCATCGAAATGTTCTTTTCTATGTTTTTTGTTAAGAAGTTGATCATGGAATTCATCAAAAAAAGGATTATGCTCTAGTACCCTCACCATACTTTTCGGTACCTTATTGAAAAAATAAGTCTCACTTAATAGACATGTGTTCACTAAAAAATATATGACCGGTGAAACCGGTATATTCAAATTATTTATCTATTTTTACCCCCAAAAATATTATTACTTTACCAAAAAATTGTAACACAACCCCAAAAGTCATAACACAATCCTAAAAGTTGTAACACCTTCTAGAAAGTTGTAATGCCACCCAAATAAATCAGGGTCTCAGGCAAAAACTTTATATGAGATTCTATTAATATTTTGTCTATTAATATATAGGATTTTTAATTATTATAATTTATTTTTTATTTAAAAAAATTATATTTTTTATTTTTTTGGATACAAAATATTGATCAAGTTCTTATATTTAAGTTTTGATAATAAATCTTTCTTAATAGATAATATGATTATTCATTCAATCTTAATTGATCATTAATAAGATATTATCACTTAAGTTTTGAACCAGCAATTTAATGGGCCTATAAAATTTGGATAATATCTAAAAAGGTTTTTTGTGAGCCGGTACTTAATTTACCACTTAATTGTGGAAAAGTACTTTGTACAAAATATTTTGTTTAGAAATACTTTTTTTTGGATGACATAAATGCTCACAAGGTAACAATTATGTAATACAAAGAGTGGATAAGGAAACTACCACAAATCATGCAACAATCTCATTAAATTTNAGTTTTTTGTGAGCCGGTACTTAATTTACCACTTAATTGTGGAAAAGTACTCTGTACAAAATATTTTGTTTAGAAATACTTTTTTTTGGATGACATAAATGCTCACAAGGTAACAATTATGTAATACAAAGAGTGGATAAGGAAACTACCACAAATCATGCAACAATCTCATTAAATTTGGCAACTGTTATATCCCTCAAAATACGAATTTTCAATTTTCAATCAAAAAAAAAAACAAAAATATTANTCGTGGACTTGACAGCGCGTAGTGACTCCTCATAACGACGCCCTTGTCTTGACCCTGAAGATAGAAAAATTCAACGTCAAAAGGGTGTTGATAGACTCTGGAAGTTCCTCGGAAGTGATGTACTCCGAGACTTTAAAACGGATGGGTCTTGCCCTNGTCGTCGACCGTTTGCAGCAACGCAGAAGCGCAGGGCCGTGGGTGCCTTGCCTGGGGTGGGAAAGAAAACGATTTAGGAGCAAAATGCGCAAAAGGGCCAAAGCAGCGTTTTTGTAGTAATTCAATAAATCCGGCCGGTTTGTTTAAATCGTCCGGGACGAACTTTTGACAGGGTTTCCTCTAGTTTTGGTGAACAAATGATCCGATAAACGGACCGGCCCGGTTTAAGCTCCGGTTCACTGGATAACTCCACCGGGCCGGGTCAAAATTTAAAACTCGTTTATGAAATATGACATTAGAGGATTTGAGTTTTTTTTAAATTAATCTAGTTTGTGAATAAATGAACTCAACACAAGACGATTAATAAATAAAATGAAATATGTGTGAAGTCAATAAAAAAAATACATGTGATACAACTTATTTATATATCGATTATAAGTGATTTATAAAAGAGACGATTTAATAAACGAATTGTATATGAAAGAAGTGTTTTTTAACAAGAATCCATTGAAATCCGACATTAATCTGTCTCACCACATACACAAAAAAATCACTAATCAATCCCGACCCCTTATGACCAGTGTAATTGTGTCGATGAGGACCCGCTTTTGAACCCGTTTATTACAAGTGTAATCCGAACATCACATTGTCACTTGTCGACTAGAAAGCTTAATCCAAGAACTCGCAAAACCGTTATTCCACCACTGTAAAATTGTTTTTTTTTTTTTTTGATCGAGCAGTTAAGAATATTCGAATTAATTTATGCATACTTCAACTAATCTCTTTCTTGTTCAATCAAAGGTAGATCATCATGATTTAATCTCAAATGATTGTTAAGATTCGAACTTAATACGTTTAGACTTACGGTTCATCTTTGATACCACTTAAGTTACCATTAAGATTAGAATTTGCGTATTTTACTGTTTGTATAAAGCAACTCAATAATCCTGACGAATCGAATAGAGGGGCCTGTGAGCGTGTATATGTGTGCGTGTGTGTGTGTGTGAGAGAGAGAGAACTAAAAATGGGTAGCAGAGCTTCATGTTCAAATGAATCTAGTGTTAGCTTAGAATTTTCCTATGGATAACTATTTGCATAGATTCCGACAAGAGGTGAGAGACATCAGAATCAGAATGGATAGGGGCTTTAAATGATTCATTTTATGCTCCGGGTTGTGTGAATAATTTTTCGTGTTTATGATACTGGGTTTAAGGGTAGCAAAATATTATACAATTTGTTAATACGACTTGAAATTAGAGGGTTTCAATCTTTTTTAAGTTGTAAATTAGTGGATATGAAATGACATGATAAATAAACGAATCGGGTATAGGTGAAACTAACTAAAAAAAATAGACAACACTGACTTATTTATATACCGATTATACACGACAAAAAACTAAGGCCAATTCAAACCTGCCTCTCAACTTGATTGCCAAGACTAAGTGGGTTGAATTTAGGTTGAATTTTTAGTGTTTTCGTGTTATTGGC